TGCGACGTGGATCAAAGTTGATCCGAAATATGTGGTAAGTTCTGTACGAATGCAACTATTTTATAAGCTGTTTTTCCGTTCGTCACATTTCAGTAGATGTTACATCCTTCCCAATTAATTAAATTTTAAATTAATTAAGTTTTTCGAACTTTAAAATTGTACTTACCGATGGACTGACGAATAGGGCAGACTTCGTACTTGATTTGAAAATTCGGCACAAAGCGACGAATTACTTGGGCTATCTCTGCCGGAGTAAACGACATCGCAGCAATATTGTACGTACGCAAAGTCAGTTTTTCGTTAGGAACTTCCATAAACTAAAAGGATACGCTAAATGATAAAAAAACAAACAAGCGAAATTAATTTTAAACGTTAAAGTAAGGCTCACAATTGAGTTCGAATACACTAAAGTTGAAATGAGTCACGTACAACAGAAACAGTGATCACAATACAGGGAAAGGAAAGGAAAGGAAAACTGGCCAACGTAGGAATGTCGGTTTTTCTTCACTTTCACGACAGGGCCATTTTGGCGCCATTGTTTTCGCGAAATGGATGATGCAGTGTTCATCTTATGCACCGAATTATCTTTCAAGGCAGCGATGTAGTAAGCGTGGCGTGTAGTCTCCCGCCTCTTCCACACAGTGGCACTCATTTATCAACCTTGGAAGGAAGAAGGACCAGTGAATCCGACCGCAGCCTTAACTAGGCACCCATCAGCACAGTCAGACGCTCTGTCAACTGAACCACCCGGTCTGAAGCAATCCATGGTAAATTCGTTGCTCAAGTTAATTCGTGAATAAAACAAAGATAGCCCTCGAGCAGAATCGAACTCAGCATCCGTGGAGTTCGAAACAGACTTCTTAGACAGCACGGCCAACACGCCACCACCACATTAAAGGCGGGTTTAAGAAGACCAGTTGCCTACTTATTCCTAGGTACTGGCAGATTTTATCTGAATCATCTGATGTCGTGATCATCGATGCTTTGTTACGAGTAAAAAAAAATTTAATTTAAAATTATAAATTGAAAAATTGTAAGGGAAATTTTTTGGGAATTTCGGCACCATTTTCAACCGTAATGGCAGGTAGTTTTTGTGTAAACACTGTTTGCAAATTTTACAATGTGGCGCTGACCCCAGCATCCGTAATTAGTTGGGAACTCCAAATTTACCAAGGAAATATCGACAGTTGTATAGGGCTATTAAAGTATGCTTACTTGTTTGCATATTACAAAAAATAAAAACTTTTGTCTGCACCTAAATA